AGATTTTATTTATTTATTGGAGAGGGAGAGAACGCACACAAGCAGGGGGAGCAGCAGAGAGAGAGGGAGAAGCAGGCTCTCCACTGAGCAGGGAGCCGGACACGGGGCTCGATCCCAGGACCCCGGGATCATGACCTGAGCCGAAGGCAGACGCTTAACCAACTGAGCCACCCAGGTGCCCCTTAACTAGATTTTCTTCTTTTTTTTAAGATTGTATTTATTTATTTGAGAGAGTGAAAGGGAGAGCACACAAGAGGGGGGAGGGAGAGGGAGAAGCAGACTCCCTGCTGAGTAGGGAGCTCAACACAGGGCTTGATCCCTGGACCTTGGGATCATGACTTGAGCTGAAGGCAGACACTTAACCGACTGAGACACCCCAGGCGCCCCTAGATCTTCTGATTAACTTGCTACAGATCCTACATTGGCACTTACTGCTTCACTTTGCACTTTTGTTATGGAGATGGCTTCTTTCCTTAAACCTCACGAACCAACCTCTGTTAGCTTCAAACTCATCTCCTGCAGCTTCCTCACCTCCCTTAGCCTTTGGAGAACCAAAGAGTTAGGCCTTGCTCTGAATTAGACTTTGGCTTAAGGGGATGTTGTGTCTGGTTTCATCTTCTACCCAGACCACTAAAATTTTCTCTAGAACAGCAATAAGGCTGTTCCACTTTTTTTTAATCACATTTTTTTATCATGTGTTCACTGGAGTAGCACTTCTAATTTTCTTCAAGTACTTTTCTTCTGCATTCACCACTTGGCTGTTTGGTGCAAAAGGCCTAGCTTTCAGCCTATCTCAGCTTCCAACATGCCTTCCTCATTAAGCTTAATTATTTCTAGCTTTTGATTTAAAGCAAGAGATATGTGACTATTCCCCTCACTTGAACACTTAGAGGTTATTAATTGGTCTAATTTCAATATTGTTATGTCTCAGGGAGTAGGGAGGCCCAAGGACAGAGGTGGGCAATAGCCCACGACGCAGTCGAAACACATGCATTTATTAACTTCCCCTTTTATTTGGGTGTGGCTCCTGGTGCCCCAAAAGTAATGGAAAAGTTTGAAATACTGTGAGAATTACCAAACGGTGACACAGAGACATGAAGTGAGCAAATGCTGTTGGAATATGGTACCAACACACTTGCTTGATGCAGGGTTGCTACAAGCCTTCAATTTGTTTAAAAAAAAAAAAGAGAGAGAGAAAGAAAAAAAGAAAACAAAAAGAAAAAAACTCCTGCAATATCTGCGAAGCACAATCAAAAGACATGCCTGCGCTCCAGATACCAAGATACCAAGTCTTGGACTCTTCAGGATCCCACTGGCCATAGCCTGACCAGCTCCACATCTGACTCCAGAGTTCTCCTAATCCAGACACCAATCCTTTATTTCAGAAACTACAAGGCTCCGGGCCAGACCTAGGCCGTTACTCAGAACACCAAGACTTTACCACAGAAACCAGAGCCCTGGCTTTGGGTCACTAGCCTCTACTTCAGACGCCAGATCTCTACAAGATTTAGCTATGCGATCCACCCCTCTCCCGCGCGCTCCCATTTCCACCGGAGGCCCGGGTCGCCTGGCCCTTAACCTCGACAGCAACTCTTCACTCAGACCACCTGGACTCAGGCACCAGAACTTTGCTCCTGGCCAGCCGGGTCCACACGGCCTGCCCTCGGATGGACAGAGTTTTTGACCCCAGGCGGCCAGGCCTGAAACCCCTGAAGCATCCAAGCCCTGTGCTCCCACACGGGCCGCCCCCCGGCCCCGCCGCGAACTCACGAAAACGAGGTCCGGCCGCTGCGGCCGAGAAACACGCGCCATCACCACCATCTTCCTGGCTCTCCAGGTACGGGAGGGAGTCGTGTTATAATGACGCCTCCCGCTGAAGGCCCGCCCCCCGGGGCCAGGCCTATTTCCTATTGGTTGAACCCTTTCCAACCCCGCGGACAGCGTTTGTTGACTTTCGCTTAGAAGGCGCCAGCGACCGGAAGCAGAGAAGAGGCTCCCGAAGATGACGTCATCTTGAACCTCCTCTACCAATCAGCTTCAGTGGTGGAGCCTGCGAACGCCCAATGAGCTGCTGTTTTGCTGAAGGGTTGACTCTGGGCGGAAGCGGCTTTGTAGCCAAGGAGAAGCGAGATGGGGGTGAAGCTGGAGGTGTTTCGGGTCAGTGAGCTTTGCAGCGGGTGGACGGTTGGACTCCTCCCGGCACTGAGGAGGCGGCTCTGAAAGGGAGGGGATTCCAGGAGAGAGGGCGGTGTGGGGAGAAAGCTTCTGAGTTTTGAGAGGGATCTTTAGGGTTGGAAGCCCGGCGGAGGGGGCGCTGGGGTAGGGGAGGGCTGGTGTGCGGAAGGGCGTCTGAGAGGAGTGATCTGAAAAAGGGGCTCCGACAAGGAAGGCTCCAAACCCTGAGGAAGCTCATGGTTTCCGGGTGGTTGTGGGTTTCTAATAGGGAGACCCCTGTGATTAGAGCAATAGATTCCAAATAATGAGGCCTCCTGGGTTTGAAGATGCTCCAGGGATCTGACGAACGGGTAGGTAATGAGGTCTCACGAAGATGCCTTTGATTTTAGGACGAGGTTTTGTACTCTGAGTCAGGGGTCTTTGCGCGCGCGCGCGTGTATGTGTGTGTGTGTCTTCGAGAGGGAGTTTCCCCAAACTTGGAGGAGGCTTTGAGGTCTCTTAAATTATTACTCTTAGGGGTCTAGGCTTTAAGGTGTCAGGCTTCTGTATCCTTGGTGGGAGTTCTGCGGTTCTTGCGGACCCTGAGGAGGCACGCCTAAGCTCTGCGGGAGGATGGTCCTCCAGGCTCTGAGCAACCATGCGTGTTGTGGAAGGGGTTTAATCTGGGGCTCCGCTCATTTACCCCCTGCCCTTCTAGATGACGCTCTACCTCACCTTCCCTGTGGCTATGTTTTGGATTGCCAATCAGGCCGAATGGTTTGAGGACTATGTCATACAGCGCAAGGTGGGCACAGGGAGAGTATTCATGGGTTCATTCCAGGGCGTGGGGGAGAGAATGGAGCACCAACCTGCTGGGGACCAATGTCTGCTTCCCACCAGCCAACCCTGCCCTGGGTGGGGGGCTCTGGAGGCTCCTGGCTCATGCTACCAGCTGTTACTTTGTCCCCACAGAGGGAGCTGTGGCCACCTGAGAAGGAGGACCAGGTAAGTCACATACTCTTCTTCCCCCTAAAGGGACGGAGGTGCCTGGGTCCCTGTGGCCATGATGGGTTTGAATGAAAATTTTGCTCTCAGTCATGAGGAAAGAGAACTGAGAACAGAGGAGCATATAGTTTCTTTCTTGCCCTCTTCCTGAAAGATGAAGCGATCCCCCTTGAACCGTCGCTGTAATTGGCACAGGGCTTCCAGTGTAGATGCTGAACACTGTGAAGCTGTGGCCTGGGGGAGTAAGGGGCAGGGTGGGGGGGAAGGGAGTCTAGGCCCCTGAGGTGTGTGTCCTCCTCCCTTCCCGTTCCACCCCCCTTCTCCAACCCCCAGCACCGGGAGCTAGAAGAATTCAAAGAGAGGCTACGGAAGCAGCGGGAGGAGAAGCTCCTTCGTGCTGCCCAGCAGAGCTCCTGAAGCCTAGCCCCTCCACCAATGAAATAACACACAGTTCCTTGTTTCTTGTGGAAGTGTTTTATTGTCTGTTTTCAGGGGCCATGCAGGGCCCAGGATGGCTCAGGCCCTCAGGGGGCTTGTGTCTGGGGTTGGGGGCTGCTGTTCCGACGGAAGCTGAGGGCACTCGGGTCTTGAGGGGTGAGGAGGGGTTGGGGGCTGAGCGTCCCGGCTCGTTTCTGCACTCCGTCCTGTGGATGAAGAGGGGTCAGCCAGAGGGAGGGACCAAGGACAGTGCCAGCCGGAGGTGACCCAGACATCGGGGGAGGGTGCCTGTGTGCCCCCTCCTGCCGTCTGTCCCTACCATCCACCAATTTCTATGTACCTTAGTTACTCAACCTTTAAGGTGGTATTTGGGGTCTTGATCAGAACCCAGGCTGTGCATGCATATGTGTGTCATAGACACTAGTGTATGGAGGTCTGTGTCCTGTGTATAAACTCATGTGCCCTCTTCCTCGGAGGTGTCTTCCTAGGAAGGGGGGGTCTGCTCATTCTGTCTTCCCTGAAACCCTGAGACAGGGCGGCAGGGCCCTGAGTTCCAGCCATGGCTCTGACATTAACATGCCCCCAGCCTGACCTTGGGCCCCTCTCGGCCCTGTCTGGGCCTTTGTCCTCCCACCCGAAGTTGGGGATTGGATTGGCCAGGTTCCTGTGACTGGCAGGGACCCAGGATGGCACTCTTATCAGGCACTTATCCCTAGGGGGCAAATCGTGGCTAGATGTGAGGGTGAGGCCCCATTTACTCCTGGCTGGGGGTGGGAGGCAGGGTCAGAGCAGTCAGCCTAGCTGGTCTCTGCTCAGCCCCAGCGGCACGTCACCTACCTTGGGGCCTATGGGCTGGAAGCCAGGCAGGGTGCTGACTGTCACACGCTGGTCATCCATACGGCGGGCCTGGGTACTGGCCAGCATGTCCATGAGACTGTCCATCTCGGGTGCAGTGCCACTCTCTGCGTTAAGCAGAAGCATGTAGGGATGAACATACGTGCTGACTCCAGGGGACACAGCCCACCTGGAGCCCCCAACCCACTCCTCCTCCTCCAGTCATGTTCTCTCGGAAGCGTGTTCGTCTGTCCCCCCCATCCCTTACCCAGTGTTCCCATTTGTGGCTTACTTTCTCAGGTTCTTGCCCACAGGCCCCCCAGATGGCCTCTCTCCCTGGATCCCTACGCCCTGCCCCATTCATGCCCCCAAACATCACACCAGTCCCCCCACCACCACCACCCGTGCCCGCTCTCACGGCTCTCGGAGGTCGGATCCGGCCCTGTCTGCAGCGAGCACCGCTGCTCCTCCATCCGGTCGCCCTGCACCTGGCTCAGCAGGTTGAAGAAGCCCTCCTGGTCTGGAGAGCCAGCCTGGGGAACAGACACACTCAGTCCAGCTGGCCTCTCAGCTGGGGAACCCCTCCCCTCCCCTCCTCGGCTCTCACCATGGTCCCCGCCAATGCGCTGCTTTGCCGAGCTGCTCAGAATGAGACCTGAGCCTCCTTCCCCATCCCGGCCCCTGCCCCAGGGGCCCGGCCAGCAGGGCCACCCCACGTGGTGCTGCCTCAGGGGAGAAGCTGCCGTTGCCAGCATCCTGACATCCTAAATTGGGGCCTGACTGCAGGGTGGCCTGGGGGCTGGGACATGAGCCAGGGAAACATACCAGGGGCTGCCCCCAAATCCCGGTATCCCCCACCTCACAGGGGTTAGCACCGAGAGCCCTGACCTCTGCCCTGGGGCTGGGTTAGGCACTTGGACCCTCATGCCCACCAGCACTTCTTTGGGCGGCAACTGGGTCGGGGGTCCCAGGAGACTTGCTTGCTAATTAGGTGCCCTACAAACTAATTAGTCTTGTCATTCACAGGCCCTTGAGTTGGGAGGATGTGTGGGGTGGGATCTGCTTACCTTGACGCAGGGGGCCGAGCTCTCGTCCACCTTCTCTTCCTGGTCCATCATTGTCCCCGCTCCCCTCCCCTGGGTCCTGTCCACTTCTCTGCTGGCCTCTGTCCCGGCCCCGTGCCAGAGAAGGCTTTTTAAAAGACTGGGAATTGGGGGGGAGTGGATACCCAGCCCCAAATCCCCAGCTCATACCCCATCTGCTCCCACCCAAGCTTAAGCCCCATAAAGATGATCCAGATAATTGTTTTTGCAGCAGGATGCAGTGCTGCTGTGGGGGTAGGAGACAGGGTGACCTGGGTTTAGACCTTGCCCAGCAGGACTCACTGGGCCCCAAGAACTCTCAGGTGGGGCTCAGCAGCAGGCCAGACCAGTGTCCCCACAGTGGGGCGAGGGGGCTGGGTGGCCCCACTGGGAGAGGTCAGGCCACCAGGGCAGCTCAGGTGAGATCTGTAGCCCACCAGTGGGAAGCAGTGTGGATGGTCTCACCCTGCCGGAAGGGCAGTTGCCATCCGCAGGTGGTAGGGGAAGAAGCTGGACCTGAGGACAACTGAGGCACCACCAGGCCGACTAGCTCCATCTCTGTCTCCTGCCCCCCCCCCCACTGTCCCTGGGTCTGGTTGCCCACCACAGGCCCTAAGACAAGAAGGTCTGGGATTTCCTTTTTTATTTTTTAAGGTTTTATGTATTTGAGAGAGAGCAGGAGTGTGTGTGGGGGGGGGGGAAGTGGGGCAGAGGGAGATGGAGAAGCAGATTCTCCACTGAGCAGGGAGCCCGACATGGAGCTCCATCCCAGGACCCTGGGATCATGACCTGAGTAGAGGGCAGACGCTTAGCCGACTGAGCCACCCAGGTGCCCCAAGAGGGTCTGGGATTTCCTGTCCTGCCACCGATGGCCAGGTTGAGCTTTCTCCTGAGATCTCAGTGCCTGGGGATGGGAGGCAAGGAGCCCCAAGCAGCTATGGCCTTCTTCTAGTGCCCTGGGTGCCACTGGGAGGGTCCTGCTGGAACCCCATCCCCTACCCAAGATGCCTTTCTAGAAACCAGTTAAAACCTCTTCTCAGAGTAAATGGGCTGCACGAGCACCACACCTGCCTGAGCACAAAGCTGAAAGCTCAGTCCTCTTCCCCCAGGCAACTGTTCCCCATCCAGGGCCCCCACCCACACCCTGTCCACAACCCCGAGTCCTCGATGCCAACCGGACGCCCTGCTCTTCCACGGATGCACTAGTTTCCTGGAGCTGCCTTAACAAAGTCACAAGCTGGGTGGCTTAGGGCAACAGATGATTTGTCACAGTTGTGGAGGCCGGAGCCAGAAGTTGGGACGTTGGCAGTGCCATGCTCCTGAGACCCGCAGGGGAGGGTCCTTCCTTCCCTCTCCCTGGCTCCTCGTGGTTGTAGGCAGCCCTCAGTGCCCCTTGGCTGGTCGCTGCAGTATTTCAACCTCTGCCTCTGTCATCATGCGACATTCCTCTGTGTCCCTGTCTTCACATGACCGTCACAAGACATGGAACCCAGTCGTTGCGTTAGAGCCTCATGCTACTGCAGGCTGACCTCTTAACTAACTGCATCTGCAACGACTCTATTTCCAAATAAGGTCACAATCTCAGGTACCAGAGCTTAGGCCTTCAACCTGACTTGGGGGAGGGTGGGCAGGATACCATTCAGCCATTAACAGCAGAAGACCCTGGTCACCCTCACAGAGTATAGTTGGGGGTGGTAGGCCCTCTGGACCTTCACCCCCAGGGGACAGATTGAGAAGCTAGAGGGGTCTCACGGCCTTCCAACTCCTCCCTGTGCCCCTGCAATCCATCCTTCCCCTCCAGGAGCTGCAGGGATCCCCTCCCTCCCCTGCTCAGAACTCTCCCTTGGCCCCCATTGCCCTGAGGAGAAAACTCAAACACCATGGAGTAATGGAATGTTCTAAAATCGGGGATGGGTGCACAACTCTGGACATGCTAAAATGCATTGAATTGTACATTCTCAGCAAGTGAACTGTGTGGTATGTGAATTATATCTCAATAAAGCTATGAAAGAAAGAAAAAACAAGAAAGGAATGCAGAGAGGGAGGAAAACATGGAAGAAAACCCCCAAGTCCTACCTAGAGTAGCCAGCCATCCTGGTTTGCCCAGGACTTTCTCAGTTTTAGCACTGGAAGTCCTGTGTCCTGGGAACCTCTCGATCCCAGGCAAATTGGACTGGGTCAGTCCTACCTTGTCCCACAGAGGTCTGGCCTCTGCAGCCCCTCCAAGCTCACCTGCCTTCCTCCGCTCCTCCAGCTACATCCCCGCTTCTCTCTGCCTGGATCACTGCATAGCTGCTGCTTGATGTCCGTCAGGTTAAATCTAAACGTCACCCTGTCAGGGTCCCCCCTCTGGTACCACACACAATAAACCACCCCCCGCACATGTGGCACGTGCTCTCACATCACTGTTTATTTCCGTTAGAACGGAATTGACCATTTTCTCTCCCCCTTCCATTTAACCTTAAGTGCCACATGGCACATCTAGTTTTATTCACTGTTGCCTGTCCCATGTAAGTGGCAAAGGGCCAAGCACCAGACGAACTCCTTTTTTTTTTCTTTTTTAAGATTTTATTTATTTATTTGAGAAAGAGCATGAGCAGGGGGAAGGGCAGAGGGAGAAGCAGACTCCCTGCTAAGCAGAGAGCCTGATGTGGGGCTCCATCCCAGGACTCCAGCATTATAACCTGAGCCAAAGGCAGACGCTTAACTTACTGAGCCACCCAGGCGCCCCATCCGGACCAATTCTTTTTTTTTTTTTTTTTTTTTTTGAGATTTTATTTATTTATCTGACAGAGACAGCGAGAGAGGGAACACAAGCAGGGGGAGCTGGAGAGGGAGAAGCAGGCTCCTCGCTGAGCAGGGAACCTGATGTGGGGCTTGATCCCAGGACGCTGGGATCATGACCTGAGCGGAAGGCAGATAGAGGCTTACCCACTGAGCCACCCAGGCGCTCCCATCCAGACCAATTCTTAATAAACTTAACCAAATGAAGGAACTAGTTCTGGACTCTGCATTCACACACGAGCATCACACCTGAAATACGGGGCCTCTTTTGGATGGGTGCTGCTGGACTGTGCCCTCTGTGACAAGGGGGCAGCCGTTTGCTGGCACACGGCAGGAGCAGGCCATGGAATTTCAAGTCAAGTGTGAACTGAGTGCGTGTGTAGGTGTGTAAGGGGTTGAGCATGCCCCTAAGCCCACGAGTTCATCAGCAGACGAATGTGATCATCAGTCTGTGAGGGCGTGTGTGCACCCGGTGAGGGCAAGGCTATGACAAGCGGTCCTCCTGGGGAAGAGTCCTGGTTCAGATCCCAGCAGGCCTATTCATCATGTGGCCTTAGACAAGAGTCCTGCTGAGCCGCGGTTTTGTTGTCTATACCGCACTCCCTGTCAGAAGTTCTCCGAGGATCGAGTGAGAATCTGACACAGGTCCTTGGCACACAGTAGGTGCTGGCTTAGCTTCAACCCTCCCTCCGGGCTTCCTCGTGAATTGATCAAATGTTGTCCAGCTTGCTGCTACGCTCTGGGGAACAGAAGGTAAGTGGGTCACGGGCTTATGGCCCCCCGCGGCCCCGGATGGGCACACAGCGTCCGTCAGCCACGGAGAAACTTCTGGCAGGGTGGTGGCTGTGTCTGGGGAAGATTAAAACGTTAGATTCCCCGCGATCCCACTTGCTCGCTGCACGCAAGCAGGGAAGGTGTGTCTGAGCTCACGTCTGCGTGTGTCGTCGGGGTGCCCCTCCAGCGACTCCGCACTCGTCTGCGTGGACACATCCGCCCCCCCATTCTGCGAGGGACAGAGCTTCCTCTCCGAGGACCGCTGCGGGGAGGGGCCAGCTCCGCGGGGCGGGGTCCAGGTGGCTGACGCGCGGGGCCACGCCCCCACCTTGGGACAGACCCGGAAGCGGTGGCGGCGCCCCTAGGGGAAGATGGCGCCCTTGGGGCTGAAGGCGGTGGTGGGGGAAAGTGAGTGCGTCTCCTAGGGGGGCGGGGGCCAGGGGTGCACGAACCCTGGACCCCGGCGGCGGGGATTTGGCGGCTGGGCTGGGCGTCGAGCACCTGATCCTCGAGGGGGCGGGCGGGGACATGGTCCTGCTGGACGTCCCGGCTCTCCCGTGCCGGAGCGAAACAAAGTTGGGAGACTGGATTCCGGGGACCCAAGGGGATCGGGCTAGGGGTGGCGTAGGCAGGCGCCAGGGCTTGCCCTCCTGGACCCCCTAGGGTGCCGGCGGAGAGAGGGCACAGCTGGACGCCCAGACTGCCGGATCTCCGAGCCTGGCAGAGTCGGGGGTGGGGGCTGGACTCTTGGACTGGGGCCCGGGCTGGGTGCGCTGGTCAACTATCCCAGGTGGTGTGAGAGTTCGGGGGATGTGGTCAGGCCAGTGTCCAGGCCCAGGGGTGGGGGACACCTTCCTTCTTGCCGGGTCCCCACGAACCTCACGCAGCGTGAGGACTCGGGCGTCTAGGCCGCGTGGGTCGGGGCCCTTGGGAGAGGGGTGGAGGTCGCCCCCTCCCCCATCTCGGGTAGTTCCGGTCTCAGCACCTCCTTCCTCCTCCTTCCGCCCTGGAGGTTCTGATAAGAGTGGACATGACACTCTGGGAGGGCGG